AACACATGTCACGTATAAATGTTATATATAAAAACCAAACCTGACAAACAAGCACCGAACATGACTTTGATCCAAACATGCATCTACCCACAATGTAGATTTTGGTTGATTTATTTGTCCCTAATAGGAGAAAATTATTAAATTTTATTTTAGAATATATGAGTTTAGATTTTAACACTTATTCTTAATTAATATTTTTTTAATTAATATATTTATTTAACTAAAAAAATATTAATAAAAAATATAACGTAAAAATTTAAACTTATACACTCTTAAGAATATTTGTCTCATTTCTCTTAATAATAATAACAAAGAAAAGATTCTCTTATGTATCTCATATTCTCACCATTAAAATTTAGTAGTTTATTTATTTTTATCATCCTACCATTGAAGCTCTCAAAAAATTAACAAAAAGGTATTGTAAGAATAAAAAGAAAACCAAAACGAAAAATGAGGAATTTATCTTTAAGAGAATTGAGATTGAACTTTTATCTCTTACTCTTAATAAATACTTTTTTATTAAGATAATTATTTAATTAAAAAGATTATAAAATAATAATAAAAAGTAAAAATTTAGATTCAGACGGTATTTATAAAAATTATCCAAACAAAAGGAGGAATTGATTGATAGTTGGGCCAGCTAAGAGAGAATGAGATTCTGAGAAGGCAGTGGCCCTGGTTCGTAGAATTGCGCATTGTGTGATTAGGAAATGGATAGGAGCCTTGTACGACGTCGTGTGAAGATCACGTGATTGTCCGACGTTTGTTTGGCGGCTCCAAAAAGATAGGCCCATTGATCACGTGCTGCCACCTGACTTCCCTCGACTCTATCACTGCGCTTTTTTCCTCACCTCAACTCAGGACCACAAGCATGGTTAATAAATAGGGCATATGGGCCCCCCCAAAAACCCTATGTGCATATATCGTAAAGTGATGCATAAAGTGGTTGTTTTCTATTATTGATAATTTCTAATATAATTTATAATAATTATGTTTGGTCTATTGTTTCATAAAATTGGGCATAAGTCAAGCAAGTTACAAATCATATTTGAATGGTAGGGTGTCAATATGAGCTCCACTTAATTGAGGCAATTATAATAAAGATCATTACAATTCACAAGTGCATGATCTGCGTCATAAGATTTCCTCCAAGTGTATGACTTCATAATTAATGCACTTGGCGATAATGTTGAATTTTTCTTCTTCTTTTTTTCTTTTTTTAATGTAATATTGTTGCATTAGAGGTACAAGACTTTGTTACTATTTTCAAAAGGTGTCGGAGCACTTTTCCAAAAGGGTCCAAAAACAAGCCAAAGCGCAGTGAAAAAACACACGTAAATTGAGTACGTATCATGATTCGAATCATAGTTTGTGGTTTATTATCGTATTTTCTCTCACAAAAAATACACGTAAAATGAGAATGGTTCTGAATCCTGGTTCTGAATTCATGAACCAAACGTCCCTACGTGAAGATCTTGAGTTGAGTTTGAATTATAATTTGAGTTGAAGTTGTAACTTGAGTTTGTGTTTGGTTGTGTATATTTGAGTTATGGTTTGAGATAAGAATCTTTTTGAGTTTGTATTTAAGTGAGTCAAAAATTGAATTTGTATTTAAATAGTATTTTAATAAAAACTCAATGGTTATAAAAAATTTTAATAGGGTATATGGGTGAGGTTTTATTTATCTTTTCATTGTCAACGCATAGAAAAAAATCATCTCAATCAGAATTAAAACGAAAAAGTTATAGCATTTTTAAGAATATAAAAAATATTGTTCATTAATTTGAGTTCGAGTTTCTAAACTCGAGTTGAATGGGAAACTTGAACTCGAGTTTTAGTCCCAAACTCGAGTTCAAACTTAAAAGAACATGAACTTGAATAAAGTTGTAACTCAAATTATCTTTTTTGAGTTTTTATGACTGCCGAACAACCCCTAAATCCCTGTAACAGTGATCGATCAGATTTCGATAGGCAAAAGAACTTCAATGTAGATGTCTAGATGATACCAATATAATTGTGTAAAGATAACTCTATATTGAGTGGCCCTTGTACTATAGATCTTTTAATTTTAATGGATAAAAAATTTCCATCGATTATACATAGAGATAGTGCTGAAAGAGCTATTTATCTGCTTGATATTCGTTTGGTTTTTGTTTTTAGAATTTGGGACCATATTTCTCCCACTTGAGCAGTCTCATTCGAAATTACATTTTGTTTATGTTAACGGCTGACTCTACTTGTATGTTGGGATCATACACGTCAATATTAGTGTTGGTAACTTCTTGATTTGATATTTAGACGTATAGATGTTCTAGAAGTAATTTAAAAAAAAAAAAAGGAAGTAAATTGGTTTATCAATTGAGTAAAAAGAGAGGTTATGTCCAGTAGTGTTTGTTCAAGTTTCAGAGAGTTAGAGAAATAGTAAGGAACAAAAATGAGTCAGCTAATGATTTATTTACTGTCTATAAAATAAACCACCAGTTTACTAAATGGCCATAGACTAAACTAAAGTATTCTATCAAAGAAAAAAATAAAAGAGTAGACCACACTAGAGTAAGGACAAATATGGATTTTATAGCTATAAAAGATGAAATTACACTACATGGTGAATTTATAAGAACAGAATTGAAATATTTTAGAAATAGCATTATGCAATTATCATAATGATATTCACGTTCTATACTACAAAATTGCAAACCAATTATTTTAATGAGGTTAATTCATGCTATTTGTAAAACATTTTAAATTTATTTTCTTATTTCAATATAACTTGTAAATTTTTTAAAATATGTCATACTTTCCCTATTTTTGTAGAATCTAGTTATAATTATTTAGCATCCTCTCAGATGGGTGTGTATACATCGGCGACTCTTGTATCCCCCGATTCATTCTTTGGATTCGTCTTGTTTCCTAGTTCGTTGTTGTTTCCATATTGTTGTGATGTTTCTTACGTTGTATGTGTTTTTCGTTTGTTCTTTTTGTTGGCTTGGTTGTTGCTGGTTTGTTGTTTTGGCTGTTTTTAGTGGCGTTTATGTTTCTTGTTCATGCTTCGGTTATCATGTTTTCGCCTCTTGTTTTTTGTAATTTGCCTTTCGGTTTTGCCTTTTGAGGTTTCACTCCTCTCGGTAATTTGGTTCATTGATTTAAAACTATGATTCAGAACTATTTTCGTTTTACGTGTATTTTTTGTGAGAAAAATATAATGTAAATAACTATGAATCATGATTCAAAATCAAGTATAAATACAGGAAACAAACATATAAGAATTCACTTATCCAACAAAAAAAATAAAATGATGATAATAACAAAATAAAACTTCAGCGACACAATTGCAATTTTTTTTTTTTTTTTTTTTTTTTTCAGAAAAAGGAAATTCGCACAGTTACCTATTGTAATCCACTTATGTGCTATCATAATTTCATTTCATCCTATGACAATGCTAACATGATACTATGTTTACGAACTATTAATGAGTATTATAAGAGAAAAGAAATAGTGAATAAAACGCGAAATGAAATTACTTTTTTGCTGAGAGTCAAATGAAATTACGATGGAAGGATATTTCTCTTTATTTTCTTATCAGGGTTAATCATGCAAATGGTCAAGTTTTATTTTATTTTATTTTATTCGCTAGCTCAACATACAAGGAAGAGAACCTTAACAAAGAAATTTGTCATAACCTGCTATAGAATTTGTTTCTTTGTTTTAGGGTTGACTACATCTTTGGCTTTAAATAAACGTAACTGTTTTAGCTATATGGTTGTAGTTGACAAGGTTAGAAACATAAACAACCTTTCATTAAATTGTAGGGTCATTCTCAGTTTGCTCTTAAATTTTAAAAATTTTTACTTTCTAAATTTTGGATTAGTCTCAGTTAAGTCCTTATGTAAGAATTTCTATTAAAATTAGATAAAAAAAATATTAAACGTGATCATGTGATTTTTATCCGTTTTCTTTTTAACATATCTTAAAAAAATGAGTATATGACTGCAATACTCTTTTTTCTATTTATTTTTACAAAATTTCAACAAATAAGCTTAAATTCATGTTTACATCCTTCCAATTCAAAATAATTAAAGAGAAAGGACAACCCTAAATCTTTTATCTGTAGACAACCACAAAGAAATAGAAAATTTGCTAGACAATCTTAACAAATACCTCTTGAAATTGCATGAGTCATGATTTTTATCTTTTATTTTTAACTCATAAAAACAAAAGAGTATTTATCAAGAGTCATGAGTAAAAATTCAGACTCATACACTCTCAAAGATAAATTCTCAATTTTTTTCAAATTTACTTGTGCAAAAAAGTCAATTGTTCTATCACCCCAACTTAAAATTAAATTTTTTAAAAAAAAAAACACACACACATTTGCGCGCGCACACACTAGCTTTTCTTTCCATCCAAATCTTCCAAAATTGAGAAATAATCACAATCCTCTTCCACATGACTCTGCCCATCACACTTGATCCTAAACTAATTACAATGAGCAGGTTACACCAAGAGAAAACCAGCTTCACTGAATACTTTATTCCATATGATTCTATCCAGAACAATACTAGTTGACATCAATGATGCTCGACACCACTTATTAATAAAGAACGGATACCACAACTTGAGACTCACAATAAGACCCACCTATTAGCAGTGGTGCTTAGCACCGCCAGTGTCCTCAAACATTTTTCTTCTATCCACGGCACAATGGAGAAGCAGGTCATCCTGTAATTCTGCAGTATTTTCTACACAACACCACCATGTAGGAGGGAGCCAAATGAGGCTTCTTTCTCTGTACACTTTTCCCATGTATTTAGCCTCTTGCGGAAAACCAACCGAACAAACATTAGTAATATGTTATATATTTTAATTATTAACATGTGACGTTAGTCCGATTGTCGTGTGCGAGCATGTTGCATTTGTCTCGTTGTCATGTGCTGATATATAACCGTCTGTTTGAGGTCACAGCAATTTCTTACAAGTGATGGAAATATAAAAGCCTGACGAATTAACATAGGTAGCTATGGCAATTACGGCATTCATTTATAAATTATCAATTTAACAAAATTTTACAAAACTTTGGAATGAAAGTTAGGAGATTGGAAAATTTCCCATGCAATAACAGCAAGGAGAACAAGAAGTCTACACGTCAAGTCCCTTAAAATTAGTCATCATCAGAGCTACTATCTTCTGATACATTCCCAATCTCATCTGTAACAGTTTTGTCCTGCAAAGCACGTTCCAAACAGCGTGTCACCGAAAAGGAAAATATATGGAACAAGACTGCTCCGTGCGTGACTGTCTATTGAGTGACATAAAAAGAACAATCTGACAAGTGCACCAGATTACCAAAAAAAGATTCTTACCGGCATCTTATCCCAGTCCTTCAACTTCGAACTCGTTAACATGTAATTATCACGTAATGGAGCCCAAGCAGGCCCTTCATCATCTGCTTGACCACTAGATGTCTGAAGCTGAATGTAAATAAAACACCAAAAGAATGAAAAGGAATATTAAGAAAGGTAATGAAGCACATGAGTAAACACGCCGAATATAAATGAAACGCATTTTCATGCAAGATCTCCTTACTAAACAACTATTATCATAACTTTATGGACAAATGTAAAGCGAGATTACTGAGTTACAAATATGCATAGTGCAAACTTGGACTTTTCCAAGTAATGAGGAGCGCACTTTTGCCCCGATATTACATAAGAGATAAGAGGGTCCTCTCTCGACCCAAGAAAAATAAGAGATAAGACAGGTTGCAGGATGTAAGAAACAAAAGAACGAAGTAGAAAAATGACCAACCTTTGCAGTAGCATTGACTGCGGCTGATGGTGTCTTGCCTAATTCTGTAAAGAAGGCTTCTTTCCTCCGTTTCCTTATAGCTGGTAACATTAAATATGATAACAGAGGCGTTAATGGGAACACAGATTAAGACGATTAAGCTTTCCCGTTCAGAAGTCAAAGATACCACACCGATAATTGAAAAAAAAAAAGGTGAAATAGCAACCAAAGAGGGGGGAAAGAAACAGAGAAATCACGATTTTTCCACCCCCTAGCCCGGATCATAATGAATGGTGATGGTAAAAGGAATTGTTAATAGTCAGTTGGATTAAGTTTAAATAGACAATCAAGAATGAGAGCCTGTCTATGAGAAACCAAATAAGCATTTAAAGCTTGTAACTGCCTGATTGAAATGTTGCTGAAAACACGGTAATATCCTTCTTTTCATACACTAATAGATAAGAAAAGACATAGAATACCGATATAGATGGCCAAAAAATTAGATGCCTTACAGGCTTAGCAGGAAATGTAATTTAAATAAACCACCGAAATTCATCAGGGCCAGAGGTGCTATAAGACTATTACTAGAGAGAGAACCATATTCAATTCAAAATGACACATTAACTATCAATTCCTTACCTAAAACCTAATGGTACTATACGTTCACATTTGTATTTTATAGAACAAACTTCAACAAGGAAAAGTAAAGGAAGAATGAAGGCCACTCAAATTATCACTGCAGACAGTAAATACCCGAACCTTTTTTGTCTTTAAAACTCGAAGGATTCAATCCTTTCTGAGCATGTTGTGCCTTGTTAACCTGCAGGGCATTTGAACAACAAAAGTCAGTGCCTAAACACAACAGCAACTACAGGGCAATAAAACGGAAAAAGTTCAGTAATGAAATATGAAAGGAACCAAACTTGACTAGATTTTCATGAAACAACTTACAGCATTGAACAGCTTGACCACTGAAACTCCATCAATGCACAAGTAAAACCAAGACTCAGTAAGTAAAAAACGAAACAACGTGTTATAATCATAGAAATCTCAACCAAGAAAACAGAACAAGAATCTACTACCTCCTTTTGTAGCAACACCGATTAGAAACTTCTCATGCGAATCTAAATATGTCGCCGGTTTCACATGGCCCTTCTCTCCTACCTATTATTACATATTAAAATGCACATAAGACATGGCCCGCCAAAATGGGCACAGGTTAGGACCGTGCTTTGACAGAACACAGCAACCCTATTCTTCTCTATATGGAAGTGTTACAGAAATACCAATGTATGTATACACACACACAAACATGAACAAATCCCAATTTAAAAGGAAAAAAGAGTAATGGAAATAAAACAAACTATGAATTTACCAAGTGCTTCTCCTTCTTGGTTTGACCCTTGACTTTACGCTCGGCCTCTTCTTCAGCAAGTTTTTCAGCAACAAGCTTCTTGTGAGCTGACAAAACCGGACCCTGAAAAAAAAAATATATATATATATATATATAAATTCAAATCCAAGTTCAGATTCTTAAACCAACACAAATTCGCAAAACATAACAGCAGATATTTTTACCAAAGGATCATCATTCACGGCCTTCTTAATAATACTCTTGAAAGCCATCCTAAATGCTCTGCATCCCTCCGTGAACTTGGTAATCCCCGGCTGAATTTCACCGGCTTCGTCTACGTCGGAGAATTCATTATCCTCCTTATTCACTTCTTGATTCTCAAGTTCCTCCGCTGCTTCAGAGGAATCTCCATCTCCGTCGTTTTCTTCTCTCTTGTCTTCGGATTCTTCTTCGTCGGAATTGTAGTCCCTCGCTCGCTTCCGGAACAGCTTCTTAATATCCCGATCACTCTTCTTGGGCTTCAACTCTCCAACTCCCTCTGGAAAATGTGAAACTTTCTTCTTCTTCTTCTTCGTCTTCATCATCTTAGGGTTCTTTCTCTTCCCAAACTTCCTCTTCTTCGGACCAGTTGTTGATTCCATTATCCCTTTCTCTTCCACCATTGCGCTCGATCAAATGGCTTCTAAGAACTGCAATTCGAAAATTAGGGTTTTTGAGTCGCTCGCAGAACTTGATTTCGATTTTTAGGGTTTTAAGGAAAAAACAGACTGAGGAAGCGGAGGAAAAACAAAGGTTTTCATATAAATTAATTTTTTTATTGTTTTTATATGTTTATGATTTTTATGTACACACATCAAGTCAAATGTGTAAAATTAACTATTAGGAATAAAAAAATTTTTAAAAATCTACTTTTATTTTTTCGAAATGAAATTTTCCATTAAAAAAGTATATGTTTTATGATTTTTTTTTGAATGGATGTTTTATGATTTTTATGTATAGTCATCCAGTCAAATGTGTAATATTAACTCTTAAGAATTAAAAATGAAAAAAATCTACTTTCTATTTTTTTGAAATGAAGTTTTCCATTACATATATATATATATATATAAGAACTTAGAACTTATCCCTTTTCGGATGGTCTGTAAAATCACTTATAAATGATGCAATTTGGCATTATAATATTAAATCTTGACTTGACCTAGTTAATACCTGATCAATGTAGGATTTTTTTTTTTTAAATAACAAATATTAGTGTCATCCTGCTCATTCCCGTCATCTATAGCAGAAATTCGTAACCTGATTCGAATCATAATTCGTAATTCGCTATAGTGTTTTCTCTCATAAAAAACACACGTAAATTAAAAATAGTTCTAATCTCATTATTCTAATCTATCATCTATAGCAGAAATTCGTAACCTGATTCGAATCATAATTCGTAATTCGCTATAGTGTTTTCTCTCACAAAAAACACACGTAAATTAAAAATAGTTCTAATCTCATTATTCTAATCTATAAACCAGACGTCTCCTTATCTCACTCAAAAAATGTGTTTAGTTGCACACAAATCGCTATGAGCTCAACGCTGCACGGTGCAAGAAGAAGAAAGAAAGACATTCTTTTTGTTAAGAACCACACTCTCATCTACGGACTCTCATTTATCCTCTTTCTTTAAGCTCACGTTGCATAACAAGAGGAACTGAAAAAGAAAGTAGGAACAACAACCATTAGTTAAGAGAGAACATTTTATCCCACAATTTGTTTTTGATAAGAAATCACAATGAGAAAATATACTCAAGAAAAAAGGAAAAAAAAACCACCCCAAAAGAAGTTAAGGTGGGGAAAAACCCCTGCAGGTCCTGCTTCTACCCAACAACACTTTCTTCATGATTCAAGAGTACAAAAACACAATCTGTCGAGAAACAATGCACTACACATTCAATCCATGCACTCCAGATCAAGCAAAATATGAAAGCGAAAGTGTCTACAGCTTTCTGATAACGGATGAAATCCATATCCACGGGCATCGAAATCCATCAAAGATGGAGGAAATGGTACAAGGAAAAAACGAACGAAATCGTGTGTATAAAAATCAGTACAGAGTATCCTCCTGTGCTATACATGTCCATGCAAAGAAAGAAATATTTACAACTGAGAGTTTAGTGTTCGACCCAGCAGCCGTTGCAGCCGAACATCTTATCCTCTAAGGCATACATATGGATCCCATAACTACACATGTCAAGACGTCGAAACAAAAAGGATAATATTACAACCTCGAAGCCACCGGCAGGCAACCGTGAGTTCAGCCGCTCACGATGCCATGGCAGCCTCACATTATGCATGTTACTGCTGCAGAAGGAATATAAGAGTAGGGATAATGAATATTGTGCATAATTATGGCCAATAAAGGATCAATAAGAATTCTCCTTTTGTCAAGAGTATGAATGAGATGATAGAAGATGAACTTGCCCAGAGAAAGGGAAAGGAAATAAAAGGTCATTAGCCTAATAAAGGCAAGGGCCAACCTATGCAACCTGGTTGGAATTTGGATCATGTCATGATCTGTGGTCCCTTATGTTGACAAAGGAGTCAAACTTCTGCTCCTGAACTTTATTGGTGAGGCCGTAACACAGCTTTCTACATCCACCTTTTTTCCCCACCAATGAAAATCAAGGCCCCTGCGATACAATCATACAGCTTGCCATTGCTCCGGATAAAAATGCACCAAATTTCATCCATTCTTTAGGTATGATTGTTTCCAATTAAACATCAGGTGATTCTTTCCTTTTATAGAGCATGGTTAAAAATTGAACTCAGCAGCTTCTGGTTTGGTTCAATGGATCATAATCATACGCATCACCCACTTTGACAAAGCGCCCCTTCACTCTCTTTCTGACATCAGCCCTTGCCTTGCGGGAAGCATACCTCACCCTTTTCTCAAACCTAAAATAGTAAACAGTAAGAACACGAATTAATCAAGTGGACAACAACCAAAATTGTTTTGAAATCAAATGGCCTTCTCCAAACTCTCGACAACGTAAATAAGCATAAAGATATAATATATGCAGACTTGCATCTGTGAATGCAACTAGCTTAGCATGCACAAAGTCATTCGATATAACATAAAGGGTCAAGGAAATACATAAGCAAAGCTGTGAACATGGTAGTTATGAGATGAAATGATCATGATACATACTTGCGCGCCTTCTTCTTTTCCTTGTATCGCAGAACAGCATCGCTACGATTAGCTGATTGCAAGGAATTCTCATGGCTTGGAGGACACCATGGAGGTTCTCCCATGAGAAGCATTTGAGAAGCTCCACAATCCTGGTAGTCTCCAGCACTACTTTCCCCTGTGACGCCAGAAAATGAAAGGCTTGAATGTCCTTGCTTCGTGAAACAAAGAACTGGTTCTGTTTTAGCACTCATTGCCGAATCAGCAGATGCTGCTGTGCTGCATGCCGGTTGCATTGCATTCAACAGTCCAACAGATCCCTGGAGAAGCATTTTTAGTTAGCCATGACTATATCATGTCATAAGAATGGGATTAGAAAATACTCAACTGACCAAAATAAATTAGTAGTCCAGTGTGATCAACAACCAAGACAGGAAAAGAACATGAGAACTCAAGTAGTCTTTCAATTATCAATGATATCAGATTGCAAAAGAATAAGGCTTTCAAGAAGTATTATTTATTAAAATGACAAATTGATAGGCTCTCAAAATATTTATACATGATCTTTTAGAGCTAAGCATAGAGGATTGAGCCCCTCTCAATTGGTAAAACCGAATGTCCTGATTCATTTGACTATGCCATTAAGAAGGACAAGAACATTTACAATCTTAAAGGTACATATAATTCATGTTATAAAACTCGACCTTCTGGACGTATCTAATAATAACTATGGTCAAGTACTAGGCTCTCTTTTTCTCTTTGACATGAAACTGGAGAGGAGGCTAATCCAAATCTAAGAGTGGTATATGATTCATAAGTGTAAATTTCAACTGAAGGAAATCTCTCCAAGCAGTTCTGTTGATTATTACGGATCACGTGTTACAACCAGAAGTATTATTCCCAAAATTGATTGTTTAAATAGTTTCTATGGTACAATACATTGCTGCATAGCTGTCAAACTGAAGGATTCAGAGGTCAAATTATGATGAAATTAAAAACAGAAATTGTAGTAAATAGCAGATTTATGAAACTAAATTAAGTAAATAGAAAATTTTAGAACTATTTGAAGTAAATATCAGTTTACCGTGTAAATGTTCTACGTACGACTAGTAAAAAATAATTTACGTGGTAAAAAATCTTTTTACCAATCGTAAAAAGAAAATTTATGTGGAAAACAATCTTTTTACTAGTAGTAAAAAGAATATTTACACGGAAAACTGCTATTTACTTCAAATAGTTTTAAAATATGCTATTTACTTCAAATATTTACTATAAGTCTGTTATTTACTTCATTCTCCTAATTAAAAGGTACGAAAAAAAAAAATATCATGAAATAAAGCTCAACAAATTTGTGACATAAAGTAACTCCCAGTCCCATTTAACGTGGGCAGCTCATAAGCTATTAGTTTTACCTCTCTGATAGTGAACCCATCTTACGTCTTTTAAGTTTTCTCTGTTTCATTTCTCTATTTGGCATGGAGAAGGGAAAGCCACCCCAAGCTTCTCAAGAAGTTCAGTAAAATTTGGACTATGGTTAAAGCAATGAAATATGTAACACGCAATCCCCCTTCTGTAGAAAACACGGAGATGGAATCCCAAATCCGACCGTAGAAAACCCCAGACGGAAATCCCAAATCCGACTGTATAACAATGTGATTTCCAGTATAGTTTTCAGAGTGTTTTTGAGAAAATTAATCTTATCGATGGGTTCCTGAAGATAACATCCATAAAGGTCACCATCATAATCCAGACTTGTCATCTCAGTCCGTTGGGCAAAGTAAAGACACATCCTAAAAATAAGAAATTATGAACTATACTGTGTTGGTCTACAGAGGAAACGAGCTTTAAGAGTTAAAGTCATCTGGTCAAAACTACGGTGATATGAGGTATTTAAAATTTGACACAGACCCAAACTTTTTGGAGAAACTACACCAGTATTTAGCACAGCCCCCCAAAAGATGAGGTTTTGTTACTGCTTTCTCCATCGTATGTTTTCACAAGTTTTCATTAACCTCTTCTGCTCTTCATAATCTCGCACATGAATAGATTAATGCATTTTCATATATTAATAGCCTAATTGTGTGTGTTAATTAATACGACATTAGCTTTCCTGGTACGGTAACAGAAGTGAACGTCAAAACAATGCAGTGATGAAATTGAAATACCACTCACAACAAAAAAGAGCCAATTACTGAAAGGGAAAATAAGGGTAGTGAAACACAAGATAAAAGTGGAGGTGCATTTACCTCAGCAGCAACTGTACCCTGACAATTGGAGTCAGCTCCTGACACGTCAGTTGTTCCAAACAAGCTAGCAATCCCTCCATTCTCAAAAAGCTCTTCTGAGTTATTTAGAGCTAGCCCAAATAGCTCTTCATAGTTTTCAAAATTCAGGTCCACTTCATCCATGTCTAAGTCCGCATACATATCATCATTCCCACAAAGTTCAGGACCTTTTGTTCCAGCAAAGCTTAACTGTTTATCAATAATACGGTGTGTAAATTTCATTATGAAGAAACAGAAAGACTATCTTTTTAAGAACTTAGAGGCAGTTAATGAATACGAAGCTTTAGATAAAATGATTTCTGTCACCAACCCTAGTAAGTGGGAACCTGGAAGAACATGTTAGTAAAGCTTAGTGACACACAACTAGTACCACCAGGCACCAAATTTGTTTACCAATTGATGTAGCATTTCTCTAAGACAATTTTTTAAGTGATGATACAAGTAATTGATATTGCTTTGGCTAGAAAATGTGCATGGTTAGTAAACAAAAATTTGGACAGACTAGACACTACAGAATTACCTATAAAAACATAAAACATTAATTGAATATATCAATTTTTTTTAAATGATTTTTGAATATATCAACTTGAAAAATTGGAAATTACTTATAAATTTCATTAGCATGAAAATTTGGGTTGATCTTAAAAAGAACAAAACAAATCCATGATATACAATGTTATCATTCATGGGTTGATCTAGATGTAAAGTAGGATTTTTCTACGCAGTTATTGTATTGCCAAAATTATCATAAACTAAAATGAAAAATCAAAAACAAGACTAACATTCCAAATGACTCATCTTACACTAAGAACTCAGAAGGAAAATTGGGGCTCCACACGCATTAAATCAAGTAACCTAGATTATTCATCAACAAACAGCTGGAGAGCTTTGATAAGATGGTTAATATACGACGGATGGCCGGTGTAACCAACACGCATCAAGAAACCCTTGCATATGTGCAACGTACAGAAATTCCCATCAATAGATGACATAGACTTGGATCACCAGCGCTAACAAGAAATATGCAGGATATCACCTCCCCTTGATATGGAACTGGAATGAAGGAATGGAGCACTTGACATAAATCCAAATTCTAAATGAAGAAAGGCAGAAGAATGCTCGGTGGAGGCTAACCATATTCCATCTCATGCAAGAGAAAATAAAATGGAAGGGTCCTTGCTAAGAGTGAAATTTCCCAAATACAAGAGAAAGATGACAAGTGAAAGAAAATATATATTCCTTCCAATACAATGCTCACACAGAAAATTATAACAATAGAGAACTTATTTCCCAGGCAAATATGAGACTTGTCACAATATGCAAAGGTGCAAATAAATTGAAAAGATATGAAACTGTCAAGTACGAGATAAGGACCGACTTGAAGGGGAAAAACAGCAGTCTGACTGATATAAAGCATAAAACCAATTTTCTAGAAGGACACAATTCCAGCAAGCTTTTTTGTCTCATTGAAAAAAATTATAGGTACCTTACCTTTGGAAAAGTTGCATTTGCAGATTCAACTGGCAGGTCTAGAACTTGAGATGCAGCGTTATGCTTGGGCACCGAAGACGAGCTGGGGCAAGCGCTAGCCTTACCAATGCTGGGCATATCATTTAAACCAACTGTACCAGATGCATTTTCTGAAGGGCCCCCCTGGGCTTTATCTGCGCTATTCTCATTGATGCTCATCAAACCCAGTTCCTGCTCACAAGCAGATTCTCCGCCAGAAGGAAACTCTAAAACGAAGGACCAGATCGAAGAAAGCTCTGCTGCCGACGGGCAGCCAGAGTAGCAACTGATTGTTTGCCTCTTATGTGATGAAGCTGATGTAGAGGAACCATGGCCCAACCAATCACAATTCTGACAAAGAGAGATTCTTTCTTCTGCGCATCGTACTAATGCCGGTTGCGAATTGCATCTTTCACATAAGAGTGTTCTAGAGTGACGCTTCGACAGGATATTAGCGGAGTGGACATTGCGGTCACATGATAAACACAAGCACGCAGCATCGGACCGGCAATATACCATGGACCTTTGATCCCCACAGAAATCACACATATAACCCATGTTTCAAAATTGACCACTCTACTGAAACAATCGAAAACTTGTTAAAGTTCCAAACTTCTTGCCAAGTTACAGATCAACCTAACAAAAATATAGCTCCTTCAAAATTAGCCGAGTTCCACACTTCTGCAGAGTATATCTGACAACCTTCAAAGCAACGTCATAGAGGAAAAAAGAAAAAAAGGGAAAAAAAAAAAAGAAAAAAGAAAAGTCAGCTTTGTTGGACAGAAAACTAACAAGAAAATTACTTCTCATCCAACAGAATAAAGGAAGTTTGACCAAAAATCATGCAACTTTCGGCCAAGGAAATAATAAAACAAAACTCAACTCCACAAGAATTTGATCAAAATTTGGGAGTTACAGATTGATTATATGCAAAAACATGATAACCATGGAAAACCTTAAAAGAAAAATAAATTAAAATATATGTGTGAAAAAAAAAAAAAAAAAAAAGCTTAGAGCTTTGAGACCAAATGATAACAAGAAATTTTTGCTCAGCAACAAAAGGGCATGGAGAATTTCAGGAAAAAACAAATCACATCGAATATGCTATACTAATTCAATGAAACACAAAACTATTGTCTCCATAAAGGAGAAATAAATCAAATCCCAGCTAGTAATTAGGAAAAATGAACTGGAATTAAATAACAGAGTTACCAAATGAAGATCCAACACAGAAAGTTAACAGAACGAAAGAATTATTCAATAAATAGGAAGAAAAAATAGGGTTGATCCAAGGAATTCTTCCAACGAAACAGAACTTTAAAAGCATAACAAAGAAAAAATAAGCATAAAAGGAGAGGAAAAAACAGAAAATATCTGGAGATTTACCGCCCAGGACAGAGAAGACGGAGAAGATCGGCTTGACGGCTCTGGAATTTATGCTGCGAGTGAAATTTTGGTAACTGGTAGAGAGAGAGAGAGAGTAGGAGAGAGAGAGAGAGAGAGAGAGTAGGAGAGAGAGAGAACCCCAAAAGCAAGAGGTTTCCAGAATCTCTTTCCAAGAGTACTGAGATGGGAAAGTTGGGTTTAGCCAAAAAAGGCGAGAAACAAAAAGATAGAGAGAATGAGGAGAAGAGAAGAGAAGAGAAAGAGGGATAGATATCAAAAATATGGGGTGGATGTGAGCATAAGCATAATGTATGTTTGGGCAAGAGAGAGAGAGAGAAAATAAAAATAAAAGAAATATAGAATGTGACATGAGCAAAGTTGATAAAAAGTGCATTACATTTTGTGGGTCCCTGGTCCCTTTTCCTACACTTTTCGCTTTTCTGTGGGGTCCATCCTTAAAAAATATCAATTTCGCATTCAATTTTCTAAGATACTCTTAACTCTAGCTATTTATATTAATTTTTTACATTTATTTATAGTAAGTACTAAAGAAGTAGTTTTCACTCTACTTTTGTGACCTGGAGTAATAAACGAACGCCACTTGGCAAGATTTTTATCTTTTTGGTTTTGGTCTTTTGATAGTGAGTATTTTTTAAACTATAAAGTTTTGGTCGGATTAAATTAATCCTATATAAAAAAAAAAAAAAGTTTCCGTCGGAGACATGTGATAGGATGAATATATATATATATATATACCCCACCACGTAATTTTCCTGTAAAAATGATACATATGTTTTGAGAATTTTGTGATGGAGTATAATAAGAAAAATGCTTAAAAATACTACTACTAATAGAAGGTAAGTGGGGGTGCAGTTTTTATTAGTTGATGATGTTTAATATCACTGTTGCTTAATAATTATATTAGTAATTTTTTTTGTTTTTAATCAAATTAAATAAAAGTATGTTAATTTAACGGAATTGGTTATTTGTATCATGTCAAAACAGTTTTTTAATGTCATGTTAAAAAATTCTTTTTTTTCCCCCCCAATACCTATTAGTGTCATTCATTTCATTCTATTGGTTACTTTGCTTTTGAACCACTGCTTGCATGCCAAAATTCAAAAACCTTAAAAAGCTCTAGAAACCTCATTATTATTATAGTAGATGAAGCAACTAAGGAATGAGAACCCAATAAGCCACCAAAAAGTGCACATACTTCAATTCCCCATTGGATAGTGCTTTTTCAACAATTGGTGGGTTGTTGATTATCTTCATTGTAATATATATATATATATATATATATATGTATATATATATATATATAAACACACACGTACATTATTTTATTCCTATGGTAGGTTTTATACCTTTCAAATAAGCACTCACACTCATGACTCAACTGCACGACAAGCACATGTCTTCATACCCCATGTTTTGACCACCTTTATTTTATTTTATTTTATTTTCATAAAATGCAATTTACCAAAACTCAATAATTTGGTTCTTTCTAACCAATTTAAGCAAATTGAAAAAAAAAAATCTCATTGTGTTTATTTTCTGTTCGTATTTTTTATTTTTTATTTTTTGGGTTTGCCTTGTCTGAGTCCGAGCCTACTTGTCAAAGCAAAATAAATTAAAAAAAATGGTATCGTCCAATTAGTTAACCTTATTATCTGTGAAAAAAATGAATAAATAATATAGGCACCTATGAACATAAATAGACAAATAAAATGAGACTTCCTATTATTCATTTATTTATTAAAGATATTGATTACATAACATTTAAAAAGAAGGTGTCCGGGATTTAAATTTCTGTTGGCATAGTTTGTAAGGGAGCGAGCGGCTATTGCCGGTTGCAGAGAGAATTTAAAATTCTTTTTTGTCCACATTATTTTGTTGATTTTTAAATTAAAAAAATATTTCGTTAATAAACGAGAAGATCCGAATAGTCAATAGACAACTGACAACAAAAGGGCCAGTGACCTAGTAATGATGCATCCAAAGAATTTTGAAAAATGAAAAATAAAAAATTATATATATTCATGTTGTTTGTTTGTTTGCTCTTTTTAATTTTTTTTTT